TTTTTTTTTTTTTTTTACTGCCGGTCGAGTATGGCCCGGAGGTTTTCGATGGGGTTCATGTTAGGATATTGGCTCGGCCAGGGCAACTTCTGGATACCATTTTCTTCCTGCCACTTTTGGGTGTTTCTAGCAGTGTGACACGGTACTCCATCTTGCTGGAACAACATTGTGTTCTTGTCCACGAAACCCGAGGAATAAAGTGGCAAGAATCTTTCCTCCAATATTTCGACGTATTTCGCAAAATTTATGTTGCCAACGCACTCCACTAAGCTGATCAGAGAGAATGCGACAGATCAGCAGTACCCTACCACCCATCATCCACACTAAGGGATTAACTGTCACTCTTATAATGTATCCACAGCTTAAAGTGAGAGGAATATTTTATGGCGTCGCAAAGATTCGAACGCAGCTTGCCAGCTCTATAGATTTACCAACCCACTTAATTTGATTTAACCAAGTAACAAAATAACAATACGAGAAATCGCCTGTAGCAACTAGATTAAACAGCAATACAACATTTGTTGGAACAATGTTGATGTTTCGTTGTTTTTTTTGTTTTTTTATCTATGTTTCTGCAAATCCCGTACATAGCGAACCAGAAAATAACAATTACCATTTTGAAAGAAATTACGTTCTTTATTTTCTAAATATACATTTTGTATCTTTTCTCAATACGCTTAAAGCGCCTAAGTACACGTTAGTTTTAACGAATTTCCTACATAGGTTTAAAATATTTTTTTCTCTTTCTGATTTATGGAACATTTGTAAAATATCTTTAATTTTTTCAACAAGACGTACCATAAAAATTTCGATAAAGAATTGAAATCCTTAGATTTACAAAACGGATACGTTTCGCATACGAATATTTTCAAATTAAAATAATAATCTACTTGAAAGGATAATAAACCTCTAGGAAAAGTGATTTAAATCTCCTGTATCGATGAATAATTTATTAAGTGTATTGTGGAACTATTTAATGGAACTGTGTTTTTTTATGTTTGTTTACCCCTGATATGTATAACATAAAGTCAGCTTGAATTTTGTACACTAACACAGCATGTACTGCTCAGGTTTTTTTAATAACAAAAATCAATCACAGACGCATAGCGTCTCTGGATTTATGACGTATCTTTAGGGACGTTATATATTTATTTATTTATTTATTGTGTCGTTTCTCATTATAACATGCATACCCGAGGCTGAAAGATGGTAAGCATTTATTTTGACATTTAGGCCAGAAACACACAAGAAGTTTTATTGAAGGTTTTTTTTTTTTTTCAAATTCCTCTTTCATATATATATATATATATATATA